GTTCTTAACAGAAGACTAATATTAAACTCCACTACTGTTTTAAAGCAATGATTTGGGCCTGAAGATTTCTAAATACTTTTATCGATATTGAAGATTTTAAAATAATTATTTTAACATACTATATTAAACACAATCACATTTAGTTAAGTGCATATAAATAGATTTCCTTTCTAAAAATTTTTTTAGTATTGAAGTAAAGACACAAATATTTTAAATAAAACATAAGGTTTTATGAATGTATTTTTAAAAGCCTTACAAATGAATTTCTTTATGCCTAAAGGAGCAGATAACAGAATGGCGGGGTGGGGGAGAAAAGGTATCCAATCATCTCTCTTAAAATAGCTATTAAAATAACGATTTATATTAAATTAGAAATATTCATAAGTTAATTATGCAAACAACTCTTCCAGACTGCAAATAAACTTAAATAAATAGTATATAAATAACTATAATAATCAAGTCAGTGCTTCACTTTTAGTTCTGCTGAGTTCAGTAAAGTCTTGTCTAAAATAGCATACAGAAAAAACTGCTTTCCAAATATCTGAGTTGAGAAGATATTTTTATATTACAAAAATCTAAAAATTCATGGTCAGAAACTGATTTAGAAGTAGACAGTTGTAGAAAGCTAAGACAGCCAATTGAAAGCAGCTGCAGTCCAAAGCACTCATCAAGAGGAATAAAAGGAGCAAGTGAATTCAGCACCTTCAACTGAAATATCTGGGTTCTTACACTGAAACTGACTAAGCAAACAACTTGACCCTCAGAGAACAAAGAGAAGCAGAGTAGGGCGATAGCCCACCTGGGAGCAGCAGGGAGCCAAGAGAATCCCCACCCCCAGCCAAGAGAAGCAGTCAATGATTGTGTGACCCTGCTCAGGAAACCATGCTTCTCCCACAGATCTTTGTAACCCATGGATCAGGAGATCCCTTGTGATCCCACATCACCAGGGCCTTGGGTCCAATACACTGAGTTATGTGAAGTTTAAGCAGAGCAACTGCTTAGACACACACAGAGACCCAGGAGTTTTGCATACCCGGGCCCTGGAATCTGCAGCAAGGCAAGAGATCCATCCGTAAATGTCCCTAGGAAAGAGGCTGACTCCAGGGAGCAAAGTGGCTTCGTTCTGTGGGTACAACTTCCATGGCACCTTACAAGTTGGGACCCACCTGGTTGGATCCGGCAGCAGCAGGCTGTAGTCTGCCTGAGTCAGGACTGAGTTCCCAGGGGGATTGGTGACAACCATCTCTGCAGTTCTGTAGACTCGGTCATTTCAGCCTGCCAGCTTTGAAGAATATGAGCAGTGTGGATGAAGAACACAAGCAGTGTGGATGTGTTCCTCAGCACAGCATAGCTACCTTGACACATCATGGCCAGACTGCTTCTTAAGCAGAACCTGATTCCTTCCTCCTCACTTGGCAAGACCTTCCTGTGGGGGCTTCAGCCACTCCTGCAAGGATTCTCCAGACAGACCATTGATCTCTCCCAGGGATGAAGCTCCCAGGGGTTATCTACCTCTGCAGTTCAGTAGACTCAGCTGTTCCAGCCTGCCAACTTTGGAGAATCCAAACAGTCCAGACGAAGAAGAGACCTCTGAACGTAGCATACCTGCTCTACCAAAAGGCCACCTGACTGCTTCTTTGGGCAGATCCCTGATCCTGTTCCTCGTGATTGGGAGAGACCTCCCAACAGGAGTCTCAGCCGCCTCCTATAGGCATATTTGGGCCAGCAAAAGGTCAGTGCCACACTGAAACAAAGCTTCCAGAAAAAGGGGAAGGCTGCCATCTTTGCTGGTTCACAGCCTTCACTGGTGATAACTCTGGGTAGGAAAAAAATGAAAGCAACTACAGTCTGAAGGGGACCCCTAGCAAACCACAGCAGCCCTATGAAACAGTGCCATCACTGTTAAAAGAAAAACAAATAGGAAACAACAGCAACGTCAACAAAAAAGACCCCATGAAAACCCCAATCAAAGGTCACCAACCCCAAAGACCAAAGGTAGGTAAGCCCATAAAGGTAAGAAAGAATCGACACAAAAATGCTAAAAACTCAAAAGCCAGAATGACTCTTTTCCTTCAAATGACCACAGCATCTCTCCAGCAAAAGCACAAACTGGCTGAGGCTGAGATGGCTGAAGTAACAGAAGTAGGCTTCAGAAGGTGGACAATAAGAAACTGCTGAGCTAAAGGAGCATGTTTTAACCCAATACAAAGAAGCTAAGTATCATGATAAAACACTACAGAAGCTGATAGCCAGAACAGCCAGTTTAGAGAGAAACATAACCAACCTGATGGATCTGAAAAACACAACATGAAAACTTCACAATGCAATCACAAATATCAATAGCAGAATAGACCAAGCAGAGAAAAGAATCTCAGAGCTTAAAGACTATCTTTCTGAAATAAGACAGGCATACAAGAACTGAAAAAAATAAAAGAATAAAAAGGAATGAACAAAACCTCCAAAAAATATTATTTAAGAAGACCAAACCTAAGACTGATTAGGGTACCTGAAAGAGATGGGGAGAATGGAACAAAGTTGTGAAAATGCTTAAATATATCATCCAGGAGAATCCCCCAAAAGAGAAAGGTAGCCCAACATTCAAATTCAGGAAATGCAGAGAACCCCAATAAGACGCTCCATGAAAAGATCAACCCCAAGATACATAATAATCAGATTCTGCAATATGTAATGAAAGAAAAAATGTTAAGGGCAGCCTGATAGAAAGGCCAGGTCACCTACAAAAAGTAGCCCATCAGTTGCATATCTGGGTAAACTAAATTTCATAAATGAAGGAGAAAAAGGATGCTTTTCAGACAATCAAATGCTTAGGGAATTTGCCAGCACCATGCCTGCTGTGCAAGAGCTCCTGAACAAAGCATTTAATATGGAAAGGAAAAACAATTACTAGCCACTACAAAAAGAAACTGGAAGTACACAGATCAGTGACATTATGAAGCAACCACATAAACAAGTATGGAAAATAACCAGCTAGCATCATGATGACAGAATCAAATTCACAAATAACAATACTAGCCTTAAATGTAAATGAGCTAAATGCCCCAATTAAAAGATACAAAATGCCAAGCTGGATAAAAAGTCAAGACCCATTGGCATGCTCTCTTCAAGACACCCATCTCACATGCAAAGCCACATATAGACTCAAAATAAAAGAATGGAGGAAAATTTACCAAACAAATTTAAAACAGAAAACACAGTGGTTGCAATTCCAGTTTCTGACAAAACAGACTTTAAACCAACAAAGATCAAAAAAGACAAAGAAGGGTATTATGTAATGGTAAAGTGTTCAATTCAACAAGAAGAGCTAACTGTCCTAAATATATGGGCACCCAACACAGGAGAACTCAGATTTGTAAAGCAAGTTCTTAGAAACATACAAAAAGACTTAAGATTCCCAAACAATAATAGTGGGAGACTTCAACACCCCACTGTCAATATGAGACAGATCATCAAGACAGATAATTAACAAAAATATTCAAGACCTGAACTCAAGAGGACCTGACAGATGCCTACAGAGCTCTCCACCAACAGAGTAGAATATACATTCTTCTCATTGCCACATGGCACTTACTCTAAAATTTATCGCATAATCTGAAGTAAAACATTCATCAGCAAATATAAAAGAACTGAAATCATAACAAACATTTTCTCAGACCACAGTGCAATCAAAATAGAACTCAAGATTAAGAAAATCACTCAAGAACACACAACTGCATTGACGTTGAAAAACCGGCTCCTGAATGACTCCTGTGAAAATAATAAAATTAAAACAAAAATAAGAAAGTTATTTGAAACTAATGAGAGAAAAGAGACAATGTAACAGAAACTTTAGGATGCAGCTGAAGCATTGTTAAGAGAGAAATTTATAGCATTAAAATGTCCACATCAAAAAGCTAGAAAGATCTCAAGTTATCTAAGCTTCACAGCTAGCAGAAGACAAGAAATAACCAAGATCAGAACTAAAGTGAAGGTGATACAAAGATGAAAAACCCTTCAAAAAAATCAATGAAACCAGGAGCTGGTTTTTAAAAAATAATAATAAAATAGACTGCTAGATAGGCTAACAAAAAAGAAAAGAGAAGAATCATGATTATGATTATAAACATAACCAGAAATGATAAGAGGGATATCACCACTGACCCCACAGAAATATAAACAACCATCAGAGAACACTACAAATATCTCTATGCACATAAACTAGAAAATCTATAAGAAATGAATAAATGCTGGGTGCAGTAGCTCACGCTTGTAATCCCAGCACTTTGGAAGGCTGAGGTGGGTGGATCATGAGGTCAAGTGTTTGAGACCAGCCTGTCCAGTATGGTGAAACCCCATTTCTACTTAAAAAAAAAAATACAAAAATTAGCCGGGCGTGGTGGTGCAGGCCTGTAGTCTCAACTACTCAGGAGGCTGAGAAGAGGAGAATTGCTTGAACGTGGGAGGCAGAGGTTGCAGTGAGCTGAGATCGTGCCACTGCACTCCAGCCTGGGCGACAGAGTGAGATTCTGTCTCAAAAAATAAATAAATAAATAAATGCCTGGACACATACACCCATACACCTGGACACATACATGAATAAATGTCTGCACACATACACCCACCCAAGACTGAATCGGGAATAAATTGAGTCTATTAATAGATCAATAATAAATTCTGAAATTGAGGCAGTAATAAATAGCCTACCAACCAAAAATAAAAAGCTCAGGACAAGATAGATTCACAATTGAATTCTACCAGAGGTACAAATAAAAGCTGGTACTATTCTACTGAAACTATTCCAAAAAATTTAAAAGAAGGGACTCCCCTCTAACTCATTCTATGAGGCCAACATCATACTGATACCAAAACCTGGCACAGATACAACAACAAAAAAAAACTTTAGGCCAATGTCCTTGATGAACATCAATGCAAAGACTGTCAAACATCGATGCAAAATTTGGCAAACCAAATCCAGTAGCACATCAAAAAGCTTATCCACCATGATAAAGTAGGGTTCATTCTCAGGATAAAAGTTTGGCTCAATATACAAAAATAAACACATGATAAACAGGACTGAAGGCAAAAAAACACATAATTGTGTCAATAGACACAGAAATGGCCTACAATAAAATTCAACATCCCTTCATGTTAAAAACTCTCAATCAACTAGGTATTGAAGAAACATACATCAAAATAATAAGAGCCATACATGAAAAAGCCACAGTCAATATCATACTAAATGGGCAAAAGCTAGAAGGATTCTTCATGAAAACTGGTCAGCAAAGTCCTAGACTTTCATTAGAAGGCTATACTTAACACTGCAAATTAAATTCTCTTTATAGCAAACCAATTCACTTTTACACTGTGTTCATTTTTTTAAGACATAGCAATAAATAAAAGGCATACTCTTAGACATATTTGTGTCACAATAACAAATATAATTGGTAAATATATATTTCTATGTTAACAAAAAAATTCTGTATTCTCTTTATAAAATTCAGTGTAATATCTTATTTGCAAGAACAAAAATCACATTATTTAGTATTTAAATATAGTCACATAATGGATTAATATTTAAAAGATTGTTATTTTAACATCAAACGTCATATAAACATTCAATCACAAGCAAACTATAGTGGCACTGAATTCTATTTAGAAAACATATTTCTTTGAGAATAAGAACAAAAGACAAGAGTGAAAAAGGTGGAAAATTATTTCAAGAACTGAAGGGTAACTATAAAAGCTATAACATATGTGTAATGGGAATAGCAGATGGAGAAGTAAGGAACAAGAGAAATATTTTAAGTAATAACAACTGAAAAGGCACAGCCTTCAAGAAAAATAAAAGCATGCTCTTTAAAGAACCAAAGAAATCTTTGGCTCACATAAGGAAAGTTCTCGCCCAAGTTCTCAATCAGATTTATGCAAATGAAGGATTTAAGCTTGTTTAGTTCTGATTGGTCAAGATAGTTGAGCCCTTGATTGGGTGGCTTCCTAAGACCCAAACTAGAAGGCTCTATGAGATGTTTCTTCTAAAGAGCTAGTGATGAATCATTTCTCACCAGTTTTTCTTGGCTTTGGTCATGAGAACCATTCTGGTTTATGGGCGTAAATTAGGATGTTTATCCACATTTGCCTTTTTTTATGAACAAAAGACATGTAAACACTCTTCTTTCACTCCACCATGGCAGCTTTGTTCTATAATCTCAGTTTGGATATTTCTTCTATTAGTCACAGTGAGTCCACCTAGTCTGGAGTGCTTGGAGTCTGATTTACAGTTTAATTTCACACCAATGTGTTAAGAATTTTTGTATCAGTGTTCATTAAAGATATAAGTAACTTTAGTAACTTTCTTTTCTTGAATTTACTTTTTCTAGTTTTGTTATCAGAGTAATAATGCTGGCTTCACAAACTGAGTTGAAATGCATTCTTCTATTTTTTGAATGATGAGTGTAATCTTTATGAAAGATAAGTACTTGTGAAAGATAAGTGTTATTTATTTTTAAAATGTTTTATAGAATTCACCATTGAAGCCATGTGGGCCTGGAGTTTTTTGTGGAACGTTTTTTTTTTTTTTTTGAAATGAGGTTTTGCTCTTGTTGCCCACACTTCAGTGCAATGGTCCAATCTTGGCTCACTGCAACCTCCGCTTCCCGGGTTCAAGTGATTCTCCTGCCTCAGTCTCCCAAGTAGCTGGGATTACAGGCATGCACCACCATGCCCAGCTAATTTTGTATTTTTAGTAGAGACAGAGCTCCTCCATGTTAGTCAGGCTGGTCTCAAACTCCCAACTTCAGGTGATCCACCCACCTTGGCCTCCCAAAGTGCTGGGCACAGGCGTGAGCCACTGCACCTGGCCCCTGGGGGTATTTTTGTTTGTTTGTTTTAACTTTTCAATTTGAAATAATTTTAGATTTTTAGAGGAGTTGCAAATATGGTTCAGAGAGTTTCTGTATCTTGTTCACATAGGTTTCTGTAGTCAACAATTTACACAATTACATTGTATTTATCAAAACAAAGAAAACAGCATTGATAAAATACTATTAAATAACTGTAGGATTTATTCAAATTTTACCATATTTTTCACTGACATTCTTTTTGTTCTCCAGATGCAATCTAGGATACTACAGTGCATTTAGTTGTCATGTCTCCTTAGTCTCTTCCAATCAGAGACAGTTTCTTGCTCTTTCCTTGTTTTCATGATTTTGAAATTTTTGAAGAAAAATGGTGAAAATTGTGAAAACAAAAAGAGTGTTCCTTGATTTCAATTTTTATAGATGTTCCTCAGTTTGGGTTTGTTTCAATGTTTCCCCTTGATTCAACTGGGTTTTGAAGCTTGCGGAAGAATATCATAGTGGTATCATATCATATCAGGGGGTTAATTTTGATTATATACTAAGAGTTGTGTTTCTCAGGTTTCTCCACTGCAAAGTTATAATTGTTCCCTTCCTATTCTCTGTTGGTTGCAAGTGAGTCACTAATTTCAGTCCCTATTTAAGGGGAGAGGAATTAAGCTCCACCACTTGAAAAGGTTAAACTTCAGGAACCCTGAGCTTGGGCCCACAGTGCAAACCATCCATCTTGGGCTGACAGCACTGACAGACTGCTGACCAGAATGTGTGTATCTCTGGAGTAGACCCCCAAGTAGTCAAGCAAATAACCCCTGGCAACAAACACTACTAAGTTCCTTTCTCCACTTCCTCTAAGCTGTGGAAGAAACAAAAACACCAAGATCACCCCAGAGCTGCAGTGGGCAGCCCAGGAGTACCAAGTCGCGAACTATAGCCAGCACTCAAGCAGGAGGAATCCACATTTTCAGGGCACTAAGAGGGAACACAGCTGCAACTGTGAGGAAGCATATGGGAGGGACACAAACAATGAAGAGTCTACCAATGGACAAATAAGCCTAAGTGTCATTGCTAAATCACATCTCAAAACTTTGATACCAAAAATACCTCACTAACATTTCCCCCTGCGAAACCAGAGACAAGAAATCAGCTTCAAATAAGGACTCATACAAAAAGCCTCAATCTGGTGGAAACATTTATAAAAGAAGGCTATTGGCTGTACTCGATCTACACTGCAGTTAAAGAAACACCAACATGCAGAGATGAGAAAGAACCAACACAAGAACTCTGGTAACTCAAATGGCCAGAGAGTGTCATTATGTCTTCCAATGACTGCAACAGTTCTCCAACAAGAGTTCTTAACCAAGCAGAACTGATTGGATTGACAGAAATAGAATTCAGAAAATGGACAGGACCAAAGATCACCAAGATTCATGAGGATGTCAAAACCCAATCCAAAGAAAATAAGAATCACAGGAAAGTGATACAGGAGCTGAAGGACAAAATAATCAGTATAAAAAATAACCTAATAGGTCTGAAAGAGCTGAATAACTCAATATAAGAATTTCACAATGTAATCACAAGTATTAAAAGTAGAGTAAACCAACTTGAGGAATGAATCTCAGAACTTGAAGACTGGTTCTCTGAAATAAGACAGTTGGACAAAAAAAATGTATACAGAATTAAAACAAATGAACAAAACCACCAAGTATATGATTATGCAGAGAGGACAAATCTATGAATCATTGACTCAGAAATCTGTCCAGGACTTCATATGCAGATTATAAAAATTCTTTCCTCTAGCACTCTCCTCTCGGTAACGCTCCTTCAACTCTCTAAGGTGAGAGGATATGGTATTCTGCCTCATGACCGCATCATGGAGATAGAGGAGAGGCTCTGTCAACGATCTGTTGGCTGCAGTACCCGGTTGCCGGGAAATTGGGGGAAAGGGGAACTATCTCATTACTGAAGGGCAAGAATGCAGTATAGTTTCTGCTGAGAGCCTGCATTTGGGAACAGGGGCCTTTCTCACTATTGCACGACAAGGATAAAAGGTATCTTGCCACAATCCCCCAGGTATGGAGAAGGTGCTGCTTTGTTTTTCAGGCTGTGGAGACAGAGTTGGTGGACAGAGCTCTGCTCACAATCTGTGTAGCTGTAGTGCTCAGCGGGGAGGGGAAGGAGTCTATATTTTTTCATGCTGTTTTCCTGGAGCAGGCAAGTATAATCAGAATGGTTTTGTTCTGCTGGCTGTCCTTTTTCTGGTCCTTTGGCTAGAGACAGCAGGCTTTTCTTGGGACCTCTTTTTTATTTTTTTTTTTTACAGTATGTGTCTGTTTATGGTTTTGAGTTGTGGGTCTCTTTAGTGCCCATGTTGGGATATAGAGAGGGAAAAACCAACCAACCAACCCCAGGGGCTGGGCGCAGTGGCTCACGTCTATAATCCTAGCACTTTGAGAGGCCAAGGCGGGCAGATCACCTGAGGTCGGGAGTTTGAGACCAGCCTGACCAACATGATGAAACCCCATCTCTACTAAAAATACAAAATTAGCCGAGCATGGTGGGGCATGCCTGTAATCTCAGCTACTCAGGAGGCTAAGGCAGGAAAATCGCTTGAACCCAGGAGGCGGAGGCTGGGGCGAGCCAAGATTGAGTCATCGTACTCAAGCCTGGGCAACAAGGGTGAATCTCTGTCTCAAAATAAATAAATAAATAAATAACTCAGGAATCTCACTCCCGGGGGTTTTGTCTTGAGTCCTGAAATTCCTATCCAATCCAATTTATTTTCTTTGTCTTGTAATATCTTCTATTAGTTGCTTTTTGAATATTGCCTGGAGCTTTAAAATTGTAATTATCAGAGAATATAAAGTGAAGTCTGCATACCCAACTTGTCTGGAACCAGCCATAGTTTCTTTCTTGTTCTCTTAATCTTTTGTTTCTTCACCTGTTTATTTTCCCCAATGCCTTATACAAAGTACCTAATTTGCTAATATTATATCAAGTATAAAGAATTAATTATAAGTAGCTCTGGATTGTGAAACTGTTAGCGGTCTAATCAGTATGCATGCAGTCTTTCAGTAACTTTGAAGAGCCAGACACCATGAAGAGAGTTATAAATTCAGCACCCAGTTATACAAAGAAGTAGGCACATTTAGGTCTTGAAAAACACTAGATTAACATAAATTAAAAGCACCTAAAGTATGCTTTATCTAAATTTAAAGGATGAAAAAAGGTATAAATGATGATTTTTTCTACACCAAACAAAATGATCTTAACTGATTACTATTTTGGATTGACAATCATTATGTTTTAGCGTGAGAAGTCAGTGGTTCTCCATTGTAAAACTGATGCCCTCTTTTTACTTTCTTGACGAACTGCTAAAAGACATCAATATTTTTTAATGTTATTAGATTAATATATGTATTACTGGAAAACATTTGGTTGTATCATTTTTATGTGAAACAGCTGTTTGGAATAATTTAACTTGTTTGTAGTTTTTACGTTGTGTGCCATATTACATTGTTGTAATAATTGTTTGCTGATGTTCATATTTTTGCAGTTAGTCTGGAATATTTTGTTATTATTATTACTCTTTTCTTTCTTGGTTGCTGCTAGTATACTGCTTCTTCAATGACTGCCTATTCATTTTTTACACACATCAAAGAAAAGCTGGCAGTAAAGAATGACTATAATTAGTTGGTAACAGAAGAGGTTGCCAGCTTTGTAATCATGCTTTATTAAGAACTGAATATTTTCAATCTATGAATCAAAACTCAGGTTTCCAACATTCAACAATTCTCTTAATACAAATATCTAAAAGAAAAATTCTCATAAGAGTTGACAAATATATTTAAACTGTGTCCCTATGTTTTTCAGATAATGTACCATCTAAAGTGTTAAAATGTAGAGAAATTTGTAATTCACTCATTCATGTAACAGACATTTATCATGTATTTATTATGTGGCAGGTATTGTGTTAGGCTTTGGGGTCATAAAGATCAATGAAATATGTGCCCTATTCTCAAGGAGCTCATACCCTATCGAGAAAGATAAATATATGAACAATTTACTAGTATACATACATACACCCACACACACACACACACACACACACACGCACGCACACACAATAAATGTATGTCTATATTTTATATGTATTATATAAAATGTACTCATGCATGTATGCACCTATCTATTGTAAAAGCAGAATAATGTTACAAAGCCAGCAGGAATACAATCTATATAGTTCATTGATGTACAACTATAACTGTCAGACCTGCGTGCATTCATTCAATAAATATCTGTTAAATGTTTACTGAATTAACATAGATAATTTTCACTCACGTTGCTTCTTTTCATCACTGTACCCTTTATCACTGTGATCTCGAGATGTCATTCAAACTATTCAAGCTTTAGTTCATACTATGTTAAATAGGCTTTATCATTAGAAATAACTCTCCCGTTAAATGTTTTTGTGAGGACTAAACAAATTAACATATGGGAAAGCATTTTATAAACTTTAAGTTACTGTGTTAGGTAATGTAAAGAATCCTATCCTTGATTTTATGCTACTGTATGAATAAAAAAACAAAAGTAAAAATGTTCTATTATGAAATCTATTTTTTATTTCTACCTTCTTAGTGCTCTGTTCTAAAATGCAGCTCTTGAAACAGAAGGTGAACTTATTGTGGGCAGGATACTTTGAGTCTTAGTATGTATCTTACTCAGTACTCCTTAAGTGCCTTGACTTTGTGCCTGATATAGTAGGTGCTTAAAAAATGTTGTTGATGGACAACTTTGCTTTGTAATTAGAAGGTTGCGTCATACTGCAAAATAAACAAACACCCCTACCCCAGCCTTTTACATATCCAATCTCCTGCCTCCTAAAAACACTGCAGGAGTTAGTAGCAGGATGAACAAGAAAGATAGCCAGTTTAAGTAAGAAACATAACTTAAAGAATCTGACAAGATATAAACTAATTCTATTTAAAAAGTAAAAATGCTATTTTTACATATTTCCTTTATTTCCTTTACCCTTCCATATTTTTCTGCCAAAAAAGGGCTTAGTATTTTCTGTGCACCATTTTATTTATTTGTGTTTGTGTATGTATGCATGTAGGTATAAATGTTCATTGGTTAAAATTAGAAAATACAGATATGTATAAAGATCAAAACTACACATAGAACTTATCTTTTAAACTGAGAATAATAAGAGTCCCTACCATATAGAGTTAAGAGGACTGAATGAATTAATATTTATAAATACTTAGAAAAGTGCCTGATACATAGTAAGTCATTATATAAAAATGTTTGTCTATTAAATAGAATAAAATCCCACAGGCAAATGATATCCACTATTAATATTCTATATCTACACATGTGTAGCAAGGTTAGATTATTCCCTTAAGAATTTCACGGTGACAGTAAGCAAAAGAAATTCTTATAATAAACCTTATCATATATATAAAGGGAGAGTCATTATGAGGAATTGGCTCACATGATTATGGAGGCTGAGAAGTTCCACAGTCTGCCATTTGCAAGCTAGGAAATCAGTGGTGTGACTCAGTCAGAGTCAGAAGGCCTGACAACTAGCGGAGCTGATGATAAAGATCTCAGGCTGACGGCCTGAGAAGATGAGATGAGATGTCCTAGCTTAAGCAAGCAGGCAGTCAGCAAGTGGGGAGAATTCCTCCTTCTTCTGTCTTTTATTTTGTTCAAGCCCTCAGATGATTGCATAATGCAACACACATTGGGGAGGGCAATTCGCTTTACTGAGTTCCCCCTTTCAAATGCTAATCTCATCTGGAAACAAATTCAGAGACATACCTCAATATAATGTTTAATCTGGGAACCCCTTGGCCAGTCAAGTTGACACATCAAATTAACTATCATAATGGGTTTTGTTTGTGGGTTTTGCTTACTATGGCTTTGTAGCTTTTAGCCATTTAAACTAGAGAGATCCTTAGAAGTCAGTCTCTTTTTACAATTAACATTAACTTAGTCTATTCTGGATTTAATTGATCATTTTTTCCCTTTTACATTTCATTTCTCTTTGGCATTGAGAAAAATCTCTCTTGTATCCTTGTGCTGAAGGTCATCAGAGGATATTTATTTAATGTGATAGATCTGCCTAGAGGTAGAGGTCTGAGCTTGATACTAGATGACCTCTAGTCCTTCCTTTTTTTTTAAACTTGAGGAACTCTAGTTTAATTTTTATGTCTGTACCAAGGAAATGATTCAACATTTATTGAGAGCCAATTATTTGTCACACGTACTACATATTTTTATAATTAGGAAATATTTCAAACATAAAAAATTTTATATAGCAATAATATATGTTCTGCATTTTCACTTATTATTTTACTTAATCCTAACTACCATTCTATGAGGTAGCTATTGTAGTCCCCATTTTTACAAATGGGTAATAAAATGGTTAAATAACTTGCTAGATGTGAATGTTAGGGCCAGAATAAAACCTCAGTCTGCTTGACTTGGAAGCCCATACTCTTCCATATAAAAACTGGCAAAATCATATTGAGAGATTATGTTGCTTTTTTATTAACCTTCAATATGTCAGATCAAATCTGTCATCACCCTCATTTTCTTTGAGATTGTCTCATGGATAAAACAGAGACAGTTAGTGTCTTTCTTTACTCTTTTCAAGTTGTTTCAGAAATTCTCATTATTTTAAGTGCTCTCATATGTTGTGACAGCAGGATCCTTTGTCAGCCATCCTGTTCAGAATAAATAATCTGTGCTATGCCAGCATGATTTATTATTGCTACTTCCTTTATGTTTTGAGTAATTTTATCATAAAAGAATATAAACTGTTTTAGACATGTGCAAATGCCTCAGTGACTACAGCAGTTTCCCTGGCTGTTTAGCCAACTGCCTGTGGCTGATGCTCCATTTGGTAGCAGGGAAGAGAAGATAGGAGAGCATACAAGGTTATCAAATAAGGTAGATATACTGAATCATAGCACCCTTGTTGAAGAGGTGGTGCTAATTGCAAATCCCTTTTCTTGAGGACTTTGATTCCAAGTCTTTGCTATTGTGAACAGTGCCACAGTAAACATACATGTGCATGTGTCTTTATAGTAGAATTACTTCTAATCCTTTGGGTATACACCCAGTAATGAGATTGCTGGATCAAATGGTATTTCTACTTCTAGATCCTTGACGAATGGCCACACTGTCTTTCACATGGTTGAACTAAGTTACAATTCCGCCAACAGTGTAAAAGCATTGCTATTTCTCCACATCCTCTCTAGCATCTGTTGTTTCCTGACTTTTTAATGATCACCATTCTAACTGGCATGAGATGGTATCTCATTGTGGTTTTTATTTGCATTTCTATAATGACCAGTGATGATGAGCATTTTTTCATGTTTGTTGGCTGCATAAATGTCTTCTTTTGAGAAGTGTCTGTTCATACACTTTGCCCACTTTTTGATGGGGTTGCTTTTTCTTGTAAATTTGTTTAAATTCTTTGTAGATTCTGGATATTAGCCCTTTGTCAGATGAATAGATTGCAAAATTTTTCTCCCATTCTATTAGTTGCCTGTTCACTCTGATGATAGTTTCTTTTGCTGTGCAGAAGCTCTTTAGTTTGATTAGATCCCATTTGTTTATTTTGGCTTTTGCTGCCATTGCTTTTGGTGTATTAGTCATGAAGTCTTTGACCATGCCTATGTTCTGAATAGTATCACCTAGGTTTTCTCCTAGGGTTTTTAAGGTTATAGGTCTTACGTTTAAGTCTTTAATCCATCTTGAGTTAACTTTTGTATAAGGTGTAAGGAAGTTTCAGCTTTCTGCATATGGTTAGCTGTTTTCCCAATACCATTTATTAAATAAATGGGGAATTCTTTCCCCATTGCTTGTTTTTGCCAGGTTTGTCAAAGATCAGATGGTTATAGACGTGTGGTGTTATTTCTGAGGCCTCTGTTCTGTTCCATTAGTCTATATATCTGTTTTGGTACCAGTACCATGCTGTTTTGGTTACTATAACCTTGTAGTATAGTTTGAAGTCAGGTAGAGTGATGCCTCCAGCTTTGTTCTTTTTGCTCAGGATTGTCTTGGCTATACAGGCTCTTTTTTGGTTTTATATGATATTTAAAGTAGTTTTTTTGTAATTCTGTGAAGAAAGTCAATGGTAGTTTGATGGGGATAGTACTGAATCTACAAATTACTTTGGGCAGTATGGCCATTTTCATGATATTGATTCTTCCTATCCATGAGCATGGAATGTAATAACCTCATTCTTTGTGAATAATTTTTATGTTTTTTAGAAATGTACTTTTCACTACAAATCTCTAGAAATTCATAATTTTTTAAATGATGCTGTGGCAAATTACAATATTTTTGGATTTTATATATATATATATATATATATATGAGCATTAAATATGTCATTTGGGAACCAATTATTTTTGGTTACCCTAATAGCCCAGTAAATTAAGTTGCTGTACTCATATTCTATTATATAACTTAGATACTTAGAAAAAATAGAGAGTTAATTTCAGTCTTATTTTTGCTACCACACATATATGATTAAACTGTACATAGATGTCTCAAAAATACAATAATTTCTCCTACATCCATTCCTTCTGATGTTTTGGAATATTACTATGTGACAAGCATTGTTCAAAAATTTTGGGATCCCAGAGAAAAATAAGACATAATCCTTACTTTCAGGGGACTCACAAAAAATTATTAAGACTTCATGAGCAATATTTATTTGACTATATTTTTCAATTTACTCTTTCATTATTTTTATTTAAATTTCATTTATTTAGTTTCAAATATATAATATAGTCACATAGTTTAAAAGTTACAAAAAGTATGCAGTGAAAAGTTTCCTTCCCACATCTTTGTTCTATCTACCTATTCTTCTCCCTTAGGATAATATGTTCACAGTAAATACTTAAAAGGATATATATTTTTTAATTTTGAAAAGAAAATTTAGTTTTGAAAATGGTATTCTTATTTATTGAGAAATCACTATATGCCAGGCACTTTCTATATATCTTATTTAATCCATTTAATATCCTTTATCTGGTATTATCACAATTTTATTAATTATAAACAGAAACTCAACGAAATAAAGTAAGTTGTTGATAATTGCATAAATACCAAATAATGTAACTAAGAATAGGGACTATGTCTGTCGAAATTCTCCTGTGCCCATTATCTTTGCACTCAGCTATCTTACACAAAATTAATGTTCTGGAATTTCAGCTGTTTACATTTATTGGTTGCTGTCATTTTTCCCTCAGATAATGGTTAAAAAACAGGTTTTCACCCCAAACTAATAATGATAAACCTGAGTAAGTAGTCATAGAAATTTGGGAAAATACTTTTTTTAATTATAGTTTTTAAATGATGCAGTCAACATTTAGTTGTTCATATTCATATCAAACAAGAATTAAAGTAATTTGGTATTGAGTTTTCATTATGGGTTTATTGTCATATATATGTTTAACTTAGAAAAAAATTAAGCTTGTATTCTCTAAGCAAATATCATCTGGCAGTGAAGAAAAACCAAATTAACTTGAAAAGTTGCCACATATACAGCCTAAATTGATTATTGTAATATTTATTGACTACTTTTAATATGGAAAACATTTCAGCATTCACTGACAATCACTTTATTGGCCAACAGTTTGACAAATGGTATCTTATTATTCACAAGTATAGTGGCTCATTCTGACAGGCAAGAGTGGTGACAGCTAGAGTTTAGGAGCAAGAGTTTAGTGTTTAATGTTTCTAAAGGTACAGTTTAGTGTTTCTAAAACACTAGTCTGTTTGTTTTGAGTAAAATACAAAAATAAGTCCATTTATAGAAGCATATAAATGTTAAAATATTTGGCATTATACAGAAAATTATGTCTTTGTTTCATATAAATGTTCATATTTTGCCTTTGCATATTTCCAGATATGTACATATATCTTGCAGCAGAAAAATACATGGCCTTTTCTAGGAACTGTTATAAAACTAAAGTAGCCAAAATACAGATTAAAAGGAGAATCCTGTGGGCAAACAGTAGTCATGGTAGCTTTGAGTACTGATGGTAGAGGCAAAGGAAGTGATAAACTGGTTGATCTTTGTTCTGTGTTATTTCATTTATGTTCATATTTACATAGAGAATAGATGTCTTTTTCTATGTGATCTGTTTTCTTCTCATGCCTCCTTTTTGTAGTTCTGATTTATTTTACTGCTCTTTCTTTTCTTCCCCACTGTTTACAAATCTTGAATGGAGAAGATTTTTTTTCGCTGCTTAAAAGTTAGATTTTGATTTTGTTTAGAATATTTTTTCTTAATCTAAGACTCAAATATTTATTTACATCTCTTCTTAAATATGTTAATATCTACATAATTTCTCTAATAAGACAATATTTAAATATATTTTCAAGATAATTTGGTGTACAACTACTCTCCCTCAACAGCAATTGATATCATCTAGAATTTTGGCTGAGTTTTTAAAAAATACAACTTTGCTTTTTTTCCCAAATAGACAGTTTTTACAAAACAGACAATAATAAATTTTACTAAGATACTCCATATATTTCTTGCTGTATTTCTTGGTTTTCATTCTCTTGTTGAGAGCTTTTTTTCTTTTCAAGAACTCACTGTTTTCCATATTGTTTTTTGGTTTTTTCTTTTTTTCTTTTTTTTCAGCAATAAGAGAAGTTATTGACTCATGTTAACAGGGGAACATATCCAGAAGTGGATTGGCTTCAGGCACACCTGGATCTAGAAGTTCAAACATTGTCATTCAGGCAACTTTTCTCTCTCTATCTTTTTGCCTCTCTGTCTGTTTTACAGATAAATTCCCTCTATTTGGTAGTCAAGTTGGGTGGCAATATCCTTGAACCAAATTCTCAAGCTTAGCAACCATGAGTGAAAATAGGTTTGTCTCCCAGTGTCCTTACATTACCTTCAGAGAAAACTCATTTGCTCCACTTGTGTCATGTGTTCATTATTAAAGTAGTCCCCCAGCAGGGAAGCTGATACATGTGAACTGAATGATCTAGGTCAAGTACTCATCTTTGTGAAGATGGCAGGATACTACCATTGAGTGGTCCCTAAGGAAACATGTAGCCAGGGAATAGTTTTTCTAAAGGAATGAGAAGAAGAGGGGTGGGAGATAGGATAGACAAACAAAAGTCATAGTTAATATAGTCTTGCAAATCATCTCACAGAATAATTCCCTTTCTCTCATTCTACTAGATTCTGCCTTTTTTGGAACAGTCTGGGTCTCTCCAGCTTCAGGAAACTTCTTTTTGTCCTGTCCCTATTCCAGTGTCTTTTCCAACATACATGGACTGTACTGCCAATTTAAAAATTCATCACATGCTGCACTGTATTCTTCTCCAACTCATTTCCTGAGGGTTTTTAAAACAGTTATCTTTTCTGCTTCCATCCCCACTCAAGTAGACCCTAGTGTCTGTTGTTCCTTCTTTGTGTTCTTAAGTTATAATTTATCTCCCTCTTATAAATGAAAATATGTGGTATTTGGTTTTCTGTTCCTGTGTTACTTTGCTGCTATGATAGCCTCAAGCTCCATCCATGTTCCTGCAAAAGATATAATCTTATTATTTTTCGTGGATACATAATTATCTGTGGAGTATGTGTACCACATTTTGTTTATCTAGTCAGTCACTAATAAGTATTCAGTTTGATTTCATGTCTTTGTCATTGTGAACAATGCTGCAATGAACATTTGCATACATGTGTCTTTATAGTGGAATGATTTATATTCCTATGGGATTGCTGGGTCAAATGGTATTTCTGCTATTAGCTCTTTGAGGAATCGCCATATTGCTTTCCACAATGGTTGAACCAATTTACACTCCAACCAACACTTTATAAAGTGTTCCATTTTCCCCATAACCCTGCCAGCATCTGTTTATTTTTTTACTTTTCAATAATAGCCATTCTGACTGGCGTGAGATGTATCTCATCATGGTTTTGATTTGCATTTCTCTAATGATCGCTGATACTGAATTTTTTTCATATGCCTGTTGACCACATATATATCTTCTTTTGAGAAGTGTCTGATCATGTTCTTTGCCCACTTTTTAATAGGTTTGTATGTTTTTCTCTTATAAATTTGTTTAAGTTCCTTGTAGATGCTGAATATTAGACCTTTGTCAGATACATAGTTTGCAAATATTTTCTCCTATTCTGTATGTTGTCTGTTTACTCTGTTGCTAGTTTCTTTTGCTGTGCAGAAGCTCTTCAGTTTAATTAGATCATATGTCAATTTTTGCTTTTTTGAGATTGCTTTTGGTGTCTCTGTCATGAAATCTTCCCCTATTTCTATGTCCAGAACGGTATTGCCTAGGTTGTCTTTCAGGGTTTTTATAGTTTTGGGTTTTACATTTAAGCCTTTAAACCATCTTCAGCTGAATTTTGGGTATGGCATGAGGAAGAAGTTCAGCTTCAATCTTCTGCATATGGCTAGCCAGTTAACCCAGCACCATTTATTGAATGGGGATTCTTTTCCTCATTGCTTGTTTTTGTCAGTTTTGTCAAAGATCAGATGGTTATAACTGTGTGGTCTTATTTCTGGGATCTCTATTCTGTTCCATTGGCCTATGTGCCTCTTTTCATATCAGCAACATGCTGGTTGGTTACTGTAGCCTTCTAGGATAGTTTGAAGTCAGGTAATGTGATGCCACCAGCTTTGTTCTTTTTACTTAGTATCGCCTTGGCTATTTGGGCTTTTTGGGTTCATATGAATTTTAACATAGATTTTTCTAGTTCTGTGAAGAATATCATTGGTAGTTTGAATAGCACTGAATTTATAAATTGCTTTGGGCAGTATAGCCATATTAATGATACTGATTCTTCCTATCCATAAGCATGGGATGTTTTTCCATTTGTTTTTGTCTTCTCTGATTTCTTTGAGCAGAGTTTTGTAATTCTCATTGTAGAGCTCTTTTATTTCCCTGGTTAGCTGTATTCCTAGGTATTTTATTTTTTGTGTGGCAATTGTGAATGGGGTTGCCTTTCTGATTGGGATCTCGATTTGGTTGTTGTTGGTGTATAGAATACCAGTGTTGTTGTTGTTGTTGTTGTTTTAACAATGATTTGCATCCTGCAACTTTGTTAAAGTTGTTTATCAGCTAAAGGAGCTTTTGGGCCAAGACTATGGGGTTTTCTACATATATATATATAGAATCATGTCATCTGCAAATAGAGATAATTTGACTTCCTCTCTTCCTATCTGGATGCCCTTTATTT